GGTTTTCATATGCGCCGGGAAACTTCTCGATGGTGGGGGATTTCACTGTTTCCCGACCGTCCCAGAGTTTTCTGACTAATGAAAACTGGACATCATAGACATCCCCGATTGTCTGGGATGGCCAACGACAAATCGGGATATTCGGAAGGGCTCCATTTTCCCGACGCGCCTCCATTTTTACAATCGGGTAAGTCGGTGATGATTTTAGATTTCTACCAATCCTCTTATTGCTTGGCTCCAATGCCCCTGAGTCACAAATCGAATAGCGTCCGTAATACATCAAGAAAAAAGTCTTTCGATCTCTCAATATACCAGTAAAATCTGAGACGGTTTGGAAACAGTGAAATGGCCGATTGTATGGAATTTCTGTAAATAAAGAAACTGGCTGTTTGTTGACCATTTTTACTGTAGCTATTAGCTCCCTGTGACTCGCTCTCACTGAACAATCATCACATACCTGTGAGTTAAGTTTAAGATTTCTCTCGATTATCATAGCTCCATCCAACTCCTGTCCCTTCAGAGAGTACAGCGTGTGACCTATTGGCGTAAGTCTGTGTCGCCGTTTGTTGTCAAATACAGTGAAGCGCAAAGTTTTCTCGTTCAGTTCGGCGGAGGTGAGCTTAAAGGAAACATGTTCATTGAACTGTGGATCCTGAATACCGAAGTGAGTATAACTTTCAATGACAGGTTTCTCTTCAGGAAGTAGACAAATTTCCACCATTGGGTCACTTTTAATGACGCCGCCATGCGAGGCTACGCCTGGCTCGGTTACTAAGTGCCTGACCGGGAGCCTTCGGGCGCCAATCAAATGAATATTCAGTTGTTCCTCGTAGGTGTCGTGGCGAATCTCGAACAGTAACGTCCCAAGCGGGGGAGGGGCGGGAGCTGGTGCTGCCATGTGTTCATTTATTTCAGGGTTAGAATAAATAGCCATATCGATCTCCTGAACGGTGATTTTGTTGTTGGAAATGTTGGAGTCTCGCCTTTCATTTGGGTCGTAGCGCTTGGGAATTTCAAACTCACATGGACCTAGAAAATACAAAATGAGGTATTTCGCTTGAAAAAGAAAAGGTTAAACTGCGCTTTTCCGAAAAAGAAGAGGCTGGCGGGAGGATGGTCGAGATATAGTCGAAATAGCTAATCCCAAGTCATATGCTTCTCCTGGAATAAATAATGATCCAATTTACTTCATAAGCGTTGGATATCTCTTCCTATCTACAAGCCATAAAAAATGATTGTAACCAGAGATAACGAATTTTCGTTATCTCTGGAAGGTAAAATAATTATTCATTTCTTTAGTCTGTTGGATTTGTTTATGTAAAGATGGAAAATAAGAAGTATGATCTGTTTTCATGCACAATTTATTTTATTTCTTTTGTGTTCGGGACGTTATTTTTGTTTCTACTTTTTCGGAAATTAAAGTTGAAAATCAGAATTCCCTTTTGTCCCAAGCAGAATGCAACACTCCTCTGGCACGATTCAGTTCAATTATTCTTAGAGAGGAGGTTGGCATATTTACACATTTTGGATTTTTTAAATAATTATCCTATTTTAAAGCGAAAAATAAACAAAAAATCGTGAGCACACCGGGATCAACTTATTTCCTTTTTTGTCAACGCTTTTGAGCAAAATGTTTCATGGTATACAGTACAGTTGCCGCTTTAAACTTATCAACGTTAACACAGAACAACCATGGAAGAATAACAAAAAAAGTAGATGTACCAAACAACACTACTATTGAACCGTTTGCATTTTCTAAGTATATCTGCTGTCGCTATGACAAAAAATCCCTCGAAAACATCAAATTTACGTCAGCACGACCAGCTCGTTTGTTAGAATCATTATCTTCGAGAACTTTTTCTCGTAATAATTGATGCCCAATGAAGTGCCTCTTAATATTTAGAAATACGTTTATTTTTCAGATAAACGTTTTGCACCCTTTTTCATTTACCCTAATCTACTTCAGAAATATCTGTGATGCACATTAACAGCTACGGCTGTTTCCTTTTTCGTATTTCATGCTGAAAAAAAATCTTCCAGCCAAGTTGACAGTTATGTAAGAGCCTGGATGGAATCGTTTGCTTTCACGAAACATCGTAAAATATGATCTAATCCATGCAGATGACTCTTCTAAGGTCCCTGATCAGATGCAACTCGTATACGTTTTTGCAAAACCTGTCAGTGTTTAGCCTAAGATTGTCTTTCGTGAACTGCAACTCTCTTAAAGAAAGTGATTGGCCATTTATCACACGCTCAGAGGACAAACGTGTTTTGAAACAAATTTAATGTATCTGTTTCGATGTTAGTGCCCCTCGGAAATGATTCGGAAACTTTTTGAACTGTAACAAGAAACACGTTTAGTAGAACGTACTAGGATCAATTTTGTTGGATTTCCGGTACTAAGTGGACAGTGAGCAAGTCTAAATATCACACCCCTTTTCTTTCGCTTGCAATCTGTTGTGATTTCGACGTCTTTCCGGCCTAAGTTAAATCAAAATGGGCTTTTAACTTGTGATACATTTTAAAATTTTACAGGTAAGGTCTCATTACAATTTCTAAAATACAGCAAATAAGAAAATTTACAGCATCTACCTTTCGCAGGAATCGCCTTTGTTGTTTTGTTTTTAACCGTGATAGGGACACGTAAATTTGAAATGTCATTTCCCATGATGTTATGGCCGCCGCAAGCTTGTTTATCGTACTTGGAGTTTCTTTCGTTGTAGCAGTTGTTTTTCTGTTTTACACCTTCCTTGGTCTTCTGCTAATTCTTGTTGCTGTATGCAATCGCTTGCTTTTAACCTGAAGACAGAACAGAAACGTGATTTGAAATCTTTACGTTCTCTCTCTAATAGTGCATGTGAATTCTAATTACATGTGTCACTTCTCACGTTAATCTATTGCACCACTGTAACACCTGATTTGAATTTTAATATTTTGGCGTCTACGTGCGTAACACAGACTTACATTTAAAGTGCAGTCAACGAATTTACCCAAACACCAACTCAGGTTACAATTAATCAATGCCTTTTTTCTATTAAGTTTCTATTTCGAGACTTCCTCGTTTTAAAGAACTAATGAAGGACATTACGAAGAAGCTATCATGAAATTACCGATTTGTTTACTCTACGATGAGCTGCACATCTTGTTATTCGCCCAGCTTTGTAAATAAATGATGATATTTACCCTTTCCTGGGTATTTCTAGAAAATTATAGTCCTAGAGCTGCTGCTGACAAAATGAGTCCAGGATATTGAAAATGGATTGTTTAGAAATTTGTATAACTTTGTGCTCCGTTTGAATGCAAAAAATAATGAGCGCTATTTTCATTTTGATCAAATCAAAATAGGGAAAAAACTTTTCATCTTGACGCCACCTTTTAAAATGCTTGATTGATTTTCATTGAACTACGTCTACCATAGCTAGCATAAGAAAGAACACAAAGGAAGGCCTTATGTTTTAATATATAAATCGTCTCAATTTTAGTTTTATTTTATTTCAAATGACGCCAGGAAATTTGAAATATCATTTCCAACTGTGCAACGTGATCTCTTGTTGCACTTCGTTAATCATGAAGCCGGCGACATTTTGTGAATAATACGTCAAAATATTACACAGTGGTTTATCCCGGGGCTTTCCATAAATATATAGTAGGGCAATTTGAAAGTGAAAAAAGAAAGAAAATAATGTTATTTCGATGCTTCCGAGAAGTATGTAGTTGATAAGGTTACGTTCAGATATTGATTATTACTTTCAGGAACTAGGAAGTTACCATGGATTGATTTTTATTTTCTTTCCTTACTTCTGGAGAAATTAAAATATATATTGGAAACTTTGCAGTTGTTTTTTATATATAAATTTCTCAACTTCCTAGGTTACAAAGTATGACGTTAAGAATGTCCTTTATCGGACTTGCTATTAGTAAAAAAAAACTTGCTTTTATTTTTAGAACAACTTTCCTTTCGTTCTCTTTTTTTATTTTAATTCAAAAGCAATTATTGGTCATTCACGCAGTTTTTATCAGTCACATCTTGTTTTAATCTCAAAATTTTAAAATATTTTTTCACGTTTGGCTCTTCCTGTGTTTACAGACGTCTTCGACCCTCATCTGAAACTTCCTCTCCTTTTGAAGAACTATTACTTATTGATTTCTTATTATTAATGATATTTTAGAGAAGTAAGTTCAAGGCCTAACACTTAAAGTCCAAAAGGTTACCACATGAATTATTCTTCACAACTTTTATTTCAAAGTAAAAACATTAATATTTCTTGCGGCAATGCCTGAGGAAATCGAAATCCACACAATGTAAAACGTGGCTTTCCTGTAGCTATGGTTTGACCGGCAAACATCAATCGCTAACACCATGTGGGCTAATCAAGGGGCAAGCGGCCTCAAAGCAACAAAAACCATGAATTTATCGCTTTTGATTCAGTCAGGAGAGGATGCACAGTGCACAATAAAAAGGAGACACCCGAAGAATTTAGCACTAGCTTCATCTCGAGGAAAATCGGATAGCGACAGTGAAGCTTGGAAATGTAATGAAATTTGAAACCGTGCATTAGGATCTCATATTGCTATCGCAGTTAAATCTTTCATTCTTAGAAAATTAAATTACTTCCAAACGATCCTAAGACTGGTACTATCTTTTGGCAACCTCCACTAATTTCATTCAAACGCAACACAAACTTAGGCAAATTTTTGGTCACAAGTCTATTTCAAACCAGAAAAAATTTCGGAATCCAAGAGATCCACCAATATCACTGATCACTTCACGTGTACCTCCGCCAATGTCGACTTCTGTATAACTTGCTCTTATAACAGAAAGTTATACATCGTTAACACAGGAAGATGACTAGGTGACCGATTCGGAGAACAACTTCGCGACGTAAAAAGAAATGACAATGATGCATCCAAACTAGTCGTTAGACGCTTTAACCTCCCTAATTATTCTTAGCAGCGTATGGCAGTTTGTGGCCTTTGCCTATATCTAGGTTGTTAGGAAAGCCGCAAAACTCTAGAGCAAAAATTTTTCTTTCAAATCGGTACTCTTAATCTCCACGGTATCAACGAGCGCTTTTCACTCTCTTGTTTTCTCGTCACCATATTTCCACCAATAGTATAGAAACGCACACGCTACCCACAATTCCTCCAATCGCTCTGAAAAAGGGCTAACGCTCGAAACGTCCGCTTTCAAACTCTTTACGGTAGCCAATTTACGTTGTCAACTCTCTTGATAATAATAAATCACCCTGTTATACTCCCCCACCGACGCAGCACCGCAACTTACCCCTTCATTCATCCAGTAATTGTTAATTACTGGTCTTACAGGGGAAATGCTGATAGACTTAGAGAGATTTAGCGTGGACAATACCTGACTCATTCTTAAATACTAAGAAAAGGAAGGTTTATCCTTAACTGCTAATAAAGTAATCGTTTTGAGAGCAACAAACCAGTTCCTTTAAAGAAGCCGTCACATCAGTAATGTCTGTAAACAAGAAAACGATCCCGTACACGAACTATTGTGAGATCCTGCATATTTCTAGCATAAGCTCTGACTGTAGCTCACACAGTCAGCAGAAAACTGTGGGTTATTAAAAGGTAACTGCGCATTTGGTCGTGTAATTCACAACCTTCACAGTTCTCTGTATGTTTGAGCTTCATTTGGTAGAATTCGATGGGTTCGGATGTAACCGTTGCTAGTAATCGTTCCGCCTAAAAGGTAGCAATATTTTAGGAATATTTTGTAAACCATTTCATTTTCGGACTAGTCGCTCATTGGTTCAAGTTTTAACACGAAGAAGTCGCATATTTAGTTCAGGTATGTTTTTGGAGCTCAGAGTTGAAGTGTTTTCAGCTCAGTATAGTAGAGGTATGCCCAGAAGTACAACCTAGATCTGATGTCATAACTCTGACTGTGAATGAAAAATGTTTGGTTGCTACTGGTTGCATACATAAGGCCAGCCACATCAGCAACATTGAAAGTACCGTTTGTTTAAGTAGAAAAGCGAAGATGGTAAACAATGGTGGTTTGACCAGTATGAAGATTCCTTTTCACAACTCACTTGATTCACTTAAACCGCTTTACTCGCTGATGAATTTGACGCAACACAGGCAGAGCTGAATAACGAAATGCTACGTCACATTTATGCGGTCAATAAAGCGGGCTCAAGCGCACGGAGTTTAAAATTTGGCGAAATTTGCGTAGAAAAAGGGGCTGGTATTTGAAACCGAGGCATTTTGTTGTTGTCGAAGGCATTGTCCTATTTCCAGTGTTTTTAGGGAGAAAAGTAATTTTTAAAAATATTTAGGGGTGTACAATGTTTTTGAAGGTTGTTCTGTTAAAGGAAAAGCGGTAAGGGAAACAATACCTAGAAACAACAGAATGGAAAATCAAACATGCAAATGACTCAAAATCTGTATTCCGCGCAAAAGTTTAGCGCATGCGCAGACGTTATTCAGCTCTGTCCGCAGCACCTGGAATACAACAGAAATAGACCGCCAAATCAGATGGTCTGCGGCTCCATTTTTCTACGCCTCACGCGTTTGAAAAAACGAATAACAATGTTCTTTGTTCGATGACCAAGCGTAAAATTCAAGGCATATTCTTTCTTATCCTAGATTCAGGAATGGGATCAAAGAAACGACAAAAGGTTTGAAATTGCATACCTTTGCTCTTCTCCATTTTTTAACCTTGAAAGTAAACTGATTCTGCTGGTTTAGTAGTCTGACTGAAAATACTCAGAGAGGTGCCGTCTTTACTGGAAGGGGTACGGAATAAGCTAATGAACGCCGGATTTTTAGTAGGATGATTTACTTTTGAGGAAGCTCTTCTGCGAGCAAGGTGTCGATTTCGATACATTTCTTACGTCATTGATGACGTAAAAGATATATAACATCATTTCGAAATGTTTTTGTCAGCTAACTCTCTCCCAGGCTCCCCCGCTAATTTCTACTTTATATCATTGTAATAGTTGAGTACAGAAGTGGACAAAGTATAAAGCATCAGATAACAAACTGAGAAACGTTTTCAAATTCAATCCTGCAAATTCGAAGTTTTATTTCGTTCACTTGGGGATTTATGGTCATTCATGTCTACTTCTGAAAAGCATTCAAAAACCAACGGATAGAAAAAGAAAAAGGTTCTATGCATTTCAGCCTCACAAGGAGTAGAAAAAAAACTGAAATACTTTTTATGTTTATCGTGATCATGCAATTACAAGTAAAAAGGTTTTTGTTTTAACTTAGCCATTGAACGACATGCCATATAAACTATAGCATAATCAATTCGGGTTTTTTTGCTTGACTCAAAATCATTACTGTTTTATAGAATTTACAATGCCTCGATTCCTAACGAAACAACAGTAATAGTCAAGGAGAACAAGAGGCTAATTGCCATATATTTATGCAAACGGATCCCATTTTCAAGTTGTCAGACACCTGTGTGTTGTCTCTACATGTCTCATGGTGTCCTCAAACCGATTTGTTCAGATTTATGAAATCTTGCGTAATCCCGAAAGGAATATTCACTGTGGCCCCGGTCAAATCACATATAAAGTAATTGTATTATTTCGAGCTGTGCATTTGAAGATTTCATTTTTAGTTTGTTTGATTCAATACGAATAATATCCACAGGTCATTTGAGTTGTAACTTAAATACCCGAACTAAATCTCCTTTTAATTCGGAGATTGTAATAAAATCTTTATATACCGGCGTTCAAATCAAACAATAGTAGGGAAAGAAAAAACCGCTTTCCTGAACACTAACGCTCTACAAATTTTGCTTGCTGGTGGAAAAATTAATTTTCGAATACACTGTCGTGTTTTGTTTGTTTTTTTTTTTCACCAATTCAATTCATTTAGCATTACTACCTTTGATTGCGAGATCAAAATTTTGTATTTCACTTCCTCAGTCTGAACGAAATTCAGATCTCCTTTGTTTTACTCTGAGAGTAGCAGTTTCAATTTTTTTCTTCAAATGAACGAAATCAACGACTTCTCCGGTCGTTTTTCATTTTTGCGAGGAGAGTTCGAACTGTTAAAAACGACTCTTAAAACACGTTACTTCGCGTTGTTGATTGTTTCAATAACTGCACTCGGGGACATAACTCATTTAAAAATCTTTTTATCAAGCTGAGAGCAGTGAGAAAATACCATTTGCAGCAAATTTTTAAGCCGTGTTTTTGGGCTCTACGTACTTACCTCATTTGATGCAATCCGGAAGATGTTGTGGTAAATTCTTCCTTTTTTCCAACGAGATCAACAACGAGTTTACGTCGGCGAAATAAACGTATTGACTTATTCGCCCACCTAATAAAAGCAATATTCCCCGCCGTAGTTTACACAGGCTGTCTCCGAAGTAGATAAATTACGAAATATTTACTGTTATTGGCTATTGTCAAGGCAACAGGAACACAAATGAATAGTGATGTATTGCGTTATTCCATGGGTGTTAATTTTACTCTGCTGTCCATTCATCGGAAAAAACTATTTGATGGAAGTTTTCCTTCGAAACAAATTGGTCAGACTATCGTTCGAGTAAAAAATGCAGAAATGCTTATTCCTCAGACGCTTAGTTTAGATCGTATTACAATCTCTGACATCTTCCTTTCAAGCTCTTTCCATTAATGCTTTAGGCCAAAAATTTTAAGATTATGTTAAGTGACATGAGCGTGTTTTCTTGTCCTTCTCTAATGAATTAGCAATTGGGCCTTTATTAACTGCTAAAAGACATTGTGGGAAAGACAAAAAAATAAAGAGTGCTGCACTGAACTGGATTTTTTGTCAATACCCGGCGTGAAGTCGTGACTTTACCATTAAATAGGCATCTAAATTTTAACGTTGGGAAGGCGTATCTTAGAAGACAGATTAATTCGCCCTGTTGCGTAGTGAAAAAAGGTCAATTATTTTAAGTTTTGAGCCTGATCGAATCCAGAGGAAAAAGTTGAAATGGCTGGAAGGTAAGTCGTAAAAATACGAGGAAAGTCCGACATTAATCCGAAATGTTTTACTGATATCCGTGAAAGTATATCGCTATTAATTTCCGATCTATTCTTATTTATTGATTAAAGACGAGAAAGTTAAGACAGGATGAAGGTAAAATACAGGTTATGCTTGGAATTACTCAAGAATGGTTTGAAGCAGGTGGTTAGCTGATCGCAAAACGACCATCCTTTAACTGCTAGGTGCTCTCACAAAGGCTTGCGAGAAAAGAAGGGGAAAAGAAACAATCTGTGGCTGCGGAGCAACGTATTCTTCTGTTGATTCGTTCTAACTTGACAACCTCATCAAAAAAAATAGCAAGGGTAAAAAACAAGGTAACACTCTAAGAAAAAGAAATATTAAGGTTTTTTTTTTTGTTAAGTAGTAGAATTTTTCCTTTTTTTTAGGACTGAAATTAGTAGACCAGACGAAATCGACGTACCATAGGTTCATTTAAGAAACTAATTGAACTCAGAGGAAAACCTCGTTCATGAGATATTTCAGGTCTTTTGCGAGCTTAATTTTTGCCATCTATGGAGAATTTTATTCGATACGACACACACCTAATGATGGAACTTAGTTTGTTAGAACAGAGTGCCTCTGCGATGGATATGTTGCTATCAATCTGAATCATTTCCGATTCTATCAGGTTCGGAAAGCGTTTCATTAACTTTCAGAAATAAAAAAATGTTATTCTCCAGCCTAAGTCGGTCACACTGTCACTACCTTTTCGATTTTGTTTCGTGTTTTGCGTTGCTCTTTGACAGAACAACTCATCTTCACGCGGAATAACGAACTAAATTCTTTGCGTCTTTATTGATAATCAGCTTAAAGGTCTTAATTCTGGTGGATTGTATTCCTTTGTGCGAATATTTTCTTTTCTACGCAGAATTTTGCATTTTGTTTATTCCCATATGTTTCTTTTCGCTTTTGCTGCGTGCTTTGCATTTCTTGCTGTCGTGGTAACTCTTCATTTTTCACTCAGGATAACGAGCTAGTTCCTCACCCTTTCAAACTATGTTTACAGTGGTCTTATCATGTAATTTCTTGTATGGGTCTGACCAGGAAGGGATTAAAAAATAATTAAGTGTGAGAAATTGTGTTATACAGCTTCAGAACCTAATAAAACTTAAGCCCTTACTTAAAGTGTTTTTACCTAGAGAATGAATGATAATTTCTCACCAAAATATTGATATTGTAACCGGCTGCCGGGTGATAGGAAAAGAGGAAGTACTTGACGACAGGGTATCGTCTTGATATCATTTCAAATCCTTACAAACACAATAAAGGAAATTGTTTGACAATCAGAAAAGGAGATTCAACAATTAAGACTTGAGAGTGAAATTCAAACGGCGTCTGAGGAACATTTAACCCTTTAACTCCAAGATCAAATTTGTAATTCTCCTTACTATCAACCATGCAATTCTTACAATGTTATTTCAGAGAATATCGTATTGAATATTATCCCCAAATTGATATTTTTCTTAATTCTCAACACTTATCTGGTTGATGTCGTATTGATATTGTAAGGAGAAATTCTGTCTTGGTCACTAATAGGAGTTAAAGGGTTAACAGAAGTCTTATTTTTTGTAGGATATTCTTACTTAATGACAAAAACAGACAGTGAAATTAGTATCCAGAGGATAACCTGACACTTCTTCTGCCGAAATCTAATCAACTTTCTCTGAAATGATCGAAGTCATAATGGCACTAAAAGTCCACCTTAGAAAGAAGTTCACTTTGCATAGAGTTAAGTAAGAGAAAGAAATAGCTCTCTGAATATTTAAAATGAATAGCAGGGAACAGTATGCAACTGTTTTTTAATTAAGGTAGATGTCTGTCTACTGGGCACTCAGTAAACCTTTCACTGTCTTGAAGGGCCAAAGGGAAGTCTATGCATGTGCGACTCACCCAATCACAGCAGCAAGAGATTCCATTTGATCTCACACCAAATTCTCAAATAAAATAGTATTGAATTATCATTTAAATCTTGGGAGGTACATGTACAAGGTTTAAAAGAGAGAGTTGACTATATTAAGTGAATTAGATGCAAAACCATGTAATATTGTTTCACCCATGGAAAGGTTAGGATAAGCTCCTGGCTAGTCTGACAAGCATGTTTTTTTCAATTACAAATTTCCCATTTTTCAATGAGAAACATTGCACATGTAACTACACTGTTATTTTCTTTCTAGTTATACATGTAGTGAAATCAAAACTAAAGTGTACTTTTTTCTTTCATTTTATCTTTCTTTCTTTGTTAAATTCTGATGAACTATCCACTCCAGTTGCAGTTCAATGTCCACTGGCATATTGATACATTTTTTAATGTATCTCACACAGCCAAAGAGTGGAACACACACATGTGATGCAGTACCAACAGGTTGTTACAGCCATCATTTACTGTACAAAGCTGGATTCTCCACCATTTCAGTTCTAGTACACATATGACTTAACTGAGAATTCTTATTCAGAAACCTAAAAAAAAAAAAAGTATGTTTGAAAAGGTAATAAAATGATTTTGAGTGCAATTTGGTGTTGGTAAGCACAGCTAAATTTTTCAAAGACAACAAAATTGTACAAGCCCACAGAGCAAGTACAGTTTATAGCCTTTGAAAAATTTACAAGTGCTTTTTACAAATTGCATGAGACATCATGTTATTACTTGCTGATAATGTACATCCAAAAACCATTACAGAAAATCAAGAGTAGTTTGTGCACATGTTGCAACTTTGCACTGTGTTTAATGAGAATGCACTTGTTTTCAGCTGAACATAAGTGTGTAATTTATTCATGTACAATATTAAACTTAGTACCATTAAAGGTCAAGCAAGCACAGAGATTTACAAGAGTCTTTCATTTAACTTTCAATTCTGAGTCACAGTGATAGGCTGCAGTATTGACTGCTAGTAAGACATCACTGGTACAGTAACACCTTGTCTTTTATCACATCACCCACCACTGGGTTCTTGGTCGATGGAAATGAGCAAAGTCACAGCAAATATTGCTTGGAGGTTGTCTATTGTAAATTCCCCCCTCCATGCTGGTGTTTTGCTTGTCAACAATGACCTTCATGTACATCGTAAAGCTTGCCTGAGGCATAGAGAAGCATGGTGAGGCTGAAATAATATACAACTATACAAACCATGTGACCCAGGCAAAACTTTTGGAGGAAGTAAAAGGAAAGGAAATGATAGAGTGTATAAAGTCAGCAAATTTGTGCCAAAGACCCTGAATTTCAAGCTTAATGCATGAGAAAACTTTTTACCCAAATAAACTAAAATCTTACTTTTCTCCTTGGAATATTAACAAGAGGTCAATGAACACAGTCATTACCAGTTTACCTCTACAATTCTGGATGTCGACGTCTGGCATTCATAAAGAAGTTTGCAACTGTGTCTCTCTCGAGCCCAAGTTCTTCTGCAAGGGCATTCTGCATCTCTTTTGAAGGCTTTTTAGTTTCTTTAAAAATAGCAAAGAGTGCTCTTTTCTGAGAGTCTGTAAAATACAACCTTGTTTTCTTTTTCGGTGGACCAGTCTCTTCTTCCCTCCTGGCTTTAGCATCAAGTTCCAAAGCAGCTGCAAAGACAATAGCAGCATGTGTAACTTCTCCTGATATTGTCACTTCAGTATTCAGTCTGTAACTTGTGAGAATAAACAAACTCATCATTAAGAGACCAGATGCAAAATGTATCTCTCTCTCTATGTACAACACCAAATTCTCTTAAGTAACTGACTTCAGAAGGCTGAGGGAGAATAACAAATCAAATCTTAGGATTGTGAACCTTTTCACTTCCAAGATCTCTTTAGTAATTCTCCTTACTCTCTTCCATACAATTCTTATGATGTTACTTTTGAGAATTTGATATTGGATCAACTTATAATCCCTAAGTGATAGTTTTGTCTGCTCTCATCACTTGTCTGCATGATATTGTATCCATATTGTAAGATGAGATTCTCTCTTGGTAACTCATTGGAAATCAACCCTTTAAAATACACCTGCACCTTGTCCCTATAATATCCATACACTGTACATTATCCAGCAAACAGGTAATGAAATTACTCAAACTTGTCAAGCAAAAGTTCTCATCTTGAGCTAATATCACCTTCTGTAGGTGTACAACAAATATGCTGTGCTTGAATGAACCATGGTACACAGCAGGTCAAGGTTTTCAACACGCTAGCTGACTGACAGTTTTACACTGCTAGTACATTTGACAAATCAAAGTAACCTAGCCAGTTCAAAAAATCATAAGCAGGGTTTTCATTGCAATGTGGTAGATGTATCATCTGAACTTAGTAGGCAGCTAAATAGGCATGTTGCAGAGCAGCACACCCTTCAAAGAAAGTGTGGGGGCATGCTCCCTTGGAAAGATTTGAAATTTGATACTCTCTATGAGATGCAATTTCCAGCATTGTGGGACATACTTGAGTAACTTTTTTGCCAGACATTGATGTTAGAATTAGTTAAAAAATAATTATTTTCTGTCTTTGATCACAGTTCAATTAGCCAGCACAAAATGGTTTGACTGCTGGTGGATTTCTGTTGCCAACCATTTTCTAACGACAACCCTTTCATAGGTCAGGGTAATTTAGTATTGTCCACTGAGTTGATGATGAAAATTGGCCACTATAATGGGTTTTAACCCTAAGCATTTCCAGCACTAGCCCTTTATCTGAGGGCTAACACTAAAAACATCAGCTTCAAAACTCTTTACGGTGGCAATTTACATTATCAACTCAGTTGACAATACTAAATTACCCTGATGTACTCTCCCACCAACACAGCACCACGGTTTCTTTAGAAACTTGCCCCTTTCTTTCATAAGTCAATTACATACACCAAGTGCTAAGCAATCCTGAATACCCCTCTAGATCAAAGATCTACTGTAATGCTTGTGGTGGGCTCATAGTGCAAAGCACAGCTGGTGACATTTGAAGTGTGTCTGGGGCTACTACTGGTCTAGGTATGTAAAACACTTCATGACCAACAGTCCTTCACTTCTAGTATATTTGAGAAATTACTTTAACCCAGCCAATCAAAACAATCCTAAATGCATCTCAATTACTGGGCACTAAGCAATCCTGGATACCTTTATGGAGGACCTTTAATTGACTATCAAAACCAAAAAGTACCAAATAGAACAAAGGTTAACATCATCCTTAAGTCTTTCCCTCCCAGGGGTGATTAACATGTAATTTCTCCCTATCATATCCAAATGTTATCCAACAAAAGGTGGTGAGAATACCAAAACTTATCAGGCAGAAGTTGTTATCTTTATCAAACACCAAATTTTCATAACTAATTTACAAGGAAATGTGTTACAGCTAAAGGAGAGAATTATCGATTAGATCATGGGAGTTAAAGGGTTAATTAACCAATGAGCACTCACAGAAATGCGACCAAGTTGATATTGGGTTTAGTTTTGCATTTGGTTGGTTGAGATGGTTGTGGAAGTTTTCTGGACCAATCACAGGGCAAAGTAAAGCAAAACCAGCTAAGCAATTCATTCAAGATCACTTTTGATGAACAGTTAAAAAGTGCTCTAAATCTTAAATCTACTCCTTGGTTTACACTGAGCTTAGAGTAAAGAATCCATAGCACTTCCAATCACCTTTGAATTGGTTGGGGTTCCTTCGAGTGGTCACATTTATTTATCAAAAGTGTAGGACTGCTGGTCATTTGGAGGGCAGAAGCCCTCAAACACATGTCAAGAGTCATGAACTTTGTGTCATGCTAAGCATCGAGAATTTTTTCATTCAAAATTCATTCTGCCAATATAATGTAAATTAGTTAACAGGCCCCTTTCTGTTTCAACAATAAGTTCGTATTGATACATTTACTTCACAAAGCGTTTCACAAAAACACGGAAGTAGGGAAAACCGTATGTCATTGGAGGATGAATTTCTTTACATTTACCTTCTGAAAGAGTATTCAGTTTCCCTTTTAAATCCCTTAACATCGTTCCAACGCTCACAGTATCTTTCTTACCTTCTGCCCTCAGTTGTGGAATTCTTTTCACCTCTGGTAAATCGAGCCATTCTTTCATTTTTCGGAATATTTCTCTGCCTCCTCGCAATTCGTTCCAAGGTTTCGGTTTTCTTAAAACATCACTCAAAGTCCCTTGAGAGCGATTCAAAACCTTGCGTGCAAAAACAGCTTGGGGTATAGAGTACTTTTTTAGTTCATTTGTGAGTGCTTCGGCAATTTTTTTAGTATCAAGATCTTCAAATCTGCTCATGTCAAACTCTACTGAGAAGGATGGGTCGGCGGATGAATCTAATGACTTTTGTTGGGTGCTTTTGCTGGTGATGCCTAATTCTGTCGAAGAACCGTCCGAATTCTGACTATCACTTCGAAAATGAGTTCTAAAGCGAGAATCTTCGAACGTTTCACTGTTTGTAGAGCTGTCATCTTGTATCCGAGATGCGCCGGCGATTAATTCATTCATTTGTTCCAAAGCAACTTGTTCCAAGACAACAATTCCGCGAGCTGAGTCGAGCGAAATCCCTTCGGAAACTACAGTGGTCGAAATAATTGTATCAGTCACATTAGGGCTTGTTCCATTTTCGTTGCCATTAGCCCTATCGCAGTTGGCATAATCGTTTCTTTCTGTATCTTTCAAGTGACGTTCTCCATTCAAATTCACTACGGTCGCCGTTTTAGGGGTTTCGTTGTACACGAAAGGAGAATTCAGAGGAGTTTTCTTCTGCAGGCCTAAAGCTTCTGGTTGTACAGTTTCAACATTTGTGGAAGTGTTGACTTCTTCAGATGCCCCGAGCGCTAAGGGATCCAATCCATCGACATCAGAATTGTTCGGAGTATCGACCAAATTTGAAAGCGAAGATATCGAGTTTGTAGCAGGAATTTCATCGGAGCTCATACCAGACAGTCACTAGGTGGACAGTCTTCCTAACTGTTGGAATATTTTAAGCAAACTGTTGCTTCAGAAACAACACTGCTAAAGAAAACAGTCACACATTATTGCTAACGGTGTCGCAGCCATATGCCATGAGCAACACTTGGCTTAGCGACCACCCCTTGTTGTTCGGCCGCTAGCGAGCTTGTGAAATTTTAATTATTATAATTATAATTATTATTTACCTATCAAAATAATTCTCTATTTTTTATATATGTCGATAACATTAAAATTTTAAATGTAAATACAATACTAACATGTTTGTTAAGGAAAAAAATGTATTTAAAAATCCGTTGACTTTGATTGAAATAGGTAAGATTTATCCAGGCTAATATAGCAATAAAGAATTATAGGCTGATATTGAGAAATGTAAAAATTTACTTATTAATTTTATTATTATTATTATTGTTATTTCTTAAGGAGAGGGTACAGGAGAACAGAGTATTGTGAGAAAAATTATAATAATAATCACAATAATTTACATTTCTAAAGCGCTAAAATTATGAAAATATTCTAAAGCGCTTAACAAAATATTCTATAAAAATATTAAAACGATTAAACGATAAAATATGAACAATATTAAAATGCTAAAACTATTAAAAATGTTAAAACAACTTATAAGCCAGCTTGAACAGATGTGTCTTAAGCTTGGACTTAAAAATGGCTGCACTCTGACTGTTTCGAATTTCAAGCGGCAGATTGTTCCACAGAAGTGGCCCGGAACGGGCAAAGGCGTAATCACCGAAGGTCTTAAAGTTAGTTCTTAGGATCTTAAGAAGGCCCTGGTCACAGGAACGTGGGTAATGACCAGAAATGGAGTGTGGCTGCAGATATTGTTGAATGTATTGTGGGCCTTGATTGTTGAGAGATTTATAAACTAAGAGTAACAACTTAAAATGAACGCGATAAGTCACAGGAAGCCAGTGAAGATGAGATAAGGCGGACGAAATGTGATCAAACTTTGGAATCCTAAAGATTAATCGAGCAGTGGCGTTAAACACCTTCTGAAGACGATCTGTCTGGTACTTGGGGACGCGAAAGAGAAGAGAGTTACAGTAGTCCAAATGTGAAGTCACATATGCGTGAACAAGAGTCTTCGTGGACTCAGGACTAAGGAATTTCCTAATTTGGCGAATTTTATACAAGCCATGAAAAGCCTTGCTGCAGATCTTACCAATGTGAATGTACATAGACATATTGGAGTCAAACCAGGAACCCTAGTTTTGAACACTGTCGAGAGGCTGGATGGTAGAATCACCGACGGTGATGGAATCAATTGTGATTTTTGATAATTGATGACGGGAACCACCAACTAAGAACTCAGTTTTCGAATCGTTGATTAACAGACGGTAATAAATCAACTATGCACGGACATCTGAGATGCAGGCCTCTACAGGAGCTATGGCGTGGTCTTGCAAAGATCTGCCATTAGGTTCAAACGACAGATAAAGTTGTGTATCATCGGCATATCCATGAGCAGAGGGAAGATGGTTAGCTATCACATGATATGGTCGAGATATGTATAATATATATAAAATAGGTCCCATAATGCTGCATATGTAGAGGGCTTACAACTGGAGGGATCTAAGGAAAAAAATTACAGAGACGAAGGGAAAGAGACGGAGAATGGAGGCGAAATTGTCTAAGTGAACATTTAAGTCACGTACACTTAACATAGCTTATCTAAAGTCGAGTTCACAGTGTATCATTTGTGTATCAGTGTATCTGAAGTAAGATAAACATGCTAACATATTCACAACGGCTGTGAATATACGAAAGTCATATATTTGAACTGCAGATAAAGACGTGAATACGAAAGCGATCTTCACAGTTATAACAGTTTATCCGCACTTTATTTGCAGTTCAAATATATGACTTTCATATATTCACAGCCGTTTATTCACCACTCCACGGGTTTATTTCGAATCAACACAATGGCCAGCTCCCAGTTGGTTTGTTGGCTCGGTTGGTAGAGCACTACATCGCAGAGGTCATAGGTTCAAATCCCGTACCGTACAGGCCTGATTTTTTTTTTTCAGGTCTTCTTTTCACTACTGCTTAAGAAGTGTTCATAACTGCGAAGATCGCTTTCCTATTCACGTCTTCACCGCAGTTCAAATATATGACTTTCATATAATCACAGCCAATTTTCATTTTGTTCATCACTTATTGAATCTATCCACGACGTTTCTTCTTGTCTGCATTCTTTGGTAAATAGTGTATTTGAAAACAAAAGTTATCCTCGATAGATTCACATTGACGGTGCCTTAATCTCCTTAATTCCTGTGTTTTGTTAGTAATTCCAGAGAAAAGTGTTTATGAACCAACATTTGCGTATTACGCAAAGCTCTAGAAATGTGCGCCAGGAGCGGTATTCAAGTTAGTTATTGACTGAGCTATAATTTCGCAAATCCTGGATGGAGCTGCTTACGAGAACATTCTGGGACTACTATAGTTCAAAAAGGTGGCTAAAGCTAATCCAGGGGATTTTGAATTGAACTAAGTTTTCATTTCTCCATGACAAAAATCCACATTTAGGTTAACTCGAGACTTGATTTATCTCAGAATAGGGGTCTTGAACAATGAAGGAAACAGAATATTATCAGCACAACTACCTGAAGGTCTTAAAACCAAATATAAAAATCACAGTTCTGTGCATAGGATAATTTTTTATTCATCACTTTATTGTAGCGCATTTTCACTTGAAAAGGAACACCGTCATGACTTCATATTAGCTTGCTCGAAAGCAATCTCAGAATTCTATTACAGTTGAGGTGGTAGAAATAAATAAACTACACCCCGCTTTACGATTTGCTCCCAATAGTCAGATTCACTCTACAATACATAGCTGTAAGCTTGGCATCATGTTTTACTTTGTCCCCTTTCTACTGGTGTCTCGACAAATTTCAGGACAATAAACTTAGCAATAACTTTACTATGCAGTCAACTATCCTAAATTTACAAAACTTAATGAAAATCAGAGAGAATAAAGGATATCAATAACGCGGTCTTTGAAATCCGAAAGTTTAGCCTTAAGTTACAATAAGTCATAATTATAAACTAAGAAGGGTTTATAGTCGAAATAATGGGAAAAAGAGGAAAGGCTTCCACGTGGAATGAAAGTTTTTGCCTTTTAAATTCAGAGCTAACTTGTGACTGGCCCAGGAGTCTTTGCAGCCTTATCCTTTTGGCCCGTTGACCTTTCTGATATCAACTTTACAGGTTGAATGCCACAGCCATTTTTTTCGTCTGACGCTTCTTGAGGTATTTCGTCTGACGAAGAAAAGGCTTCATCTGCTTCAGCTAATAAGGAGAAAAACACAAGGAGGAATATTGATAAGCGTCAATAAAAAAATACAATTAAAAAATCACACTTTTTCTCCCGGTTTCGTGTTTTTCTTTCTGTGAAGGCTGAGTGTTCACTTGGTGCCTTCTTGACCATGACATACCTAATTATTTCGTTTTATTGAAGTCAAGTGAGGTGCATTGTCAAAACATGTTTGAAAGGGGAAAGTAACAGTAGAGAGAGATCTTAACATGCCCACCAAAATGAGACTAGGAGCAAGAGCCCATGGAAGAAAAATTCCATGTGCACCTCTTTTTGAAAGTAGCAAAACAGTTTTTTGCAGAATTAAGCTATTTACAAATGATAGGGTAAATCGTCATGCACACGTTTAGGAATAGGGGTAGAAAGGCGAGGCGTCTTTCAGTTGTTCGTAGGAAAAGTCTAACGAAGACATCCTGAGAGCAATTTCAACGAATCTTGCGTAATTTTCTTGAGCAGTGTTGAAAAATAAGGCACAAGGCAAGTACGGACTTGTAATGTTTTTTTACCTTTAAGTTCTGATACGCTGAGGTCTGTTTGAGTTGCTCTACAAATAGACTGCAAAATCTGCCCCTCCATCAATTCACTGACACGGATGTTTTGGGTCGCTTCCTTTACCTTGGCATTGAACTGGTAAATCTGAAACAAACGTTGTGAACTTCTGGGTCCGATGAACATAATGTTTCTCATGTTACATAAATACAGTAGGTTTATCAGTCTTTTAGACATATTCCTCGACTCCACTATGAAACAATAAAAATCTTAATGGTGCTGGGTTTCTCATCAACTGTTGCATAGATTTCTTGCCTGGAGTTGCCTCTGCCATCAAACCTTATATTTCATTAAAAACTAAATAAAAATTTCCAGTGGCCTTAAAAGCAAAATGAAATTCCGTTTCGAAAGGACCATACCGGAATCAACCCAGGAAACATTGTGGGGAGGTTTTGGACATGGCATTTTTTATTTTACAATAGGTGACAGGCAGGAGGGTATAAAGATCCATTTCAACTGAATAGTTTACCAATTGCGTTTGCTATGTGTCGACGCTTTGATGTATCTAACATGGGCAAAATCAAGTCAATCCCAGAACCCTTATAGTCAAGGGTGTTCATGGTAGGGTTTAATTTGGAAAGTTCAAGATTCTTACCTTGGGCACAAACACCAGAAGCAAAGTGACAGATGTACTCATGATAAGGCATATTGATAAAATGGCATATGGAGCCTCGTGGTGCACAGATCCTTCAAAAGCCAGAGACACAGACGCACCAATAATGGACAAAACGAACACGTTATAAACTGACATCCCGATGTACTTGGAGTCGTTCAGAGCAGGAATAGAAACATTGCGTGTCTCCCAGGCAAGGAAAATACCGAAGAACAATAACAAGCCTTTATAGGTAAACACGACCGCAAGGAAATACGTCTTGTATCTGCAAGTACATTGATACAACGCTGGGATAGTAACAATGTGGTTTTCCAGGCTAGCCTGAATAAATAATCAAATAATGAAATTGATTTAGAAAATTAACTAAAACAGTTTCCCAATGAATCAAATCGCAACCATCCATTTGTGTAACCAATACGTCCCGAAAATTATCCCTATGCAATCCAAATATTCTGAAAGAACACCTTGCATAGAATTAAGTATTCATTGCAGAGTGATGCCAATGAAGACAGTCTTCATTTCAAAAAAGGCGGCCACTGTTAGGAGGTGATCTTGAAAAAAGAGAAACAAACCCAAAGCCTTTGTAATTGTCCTTCGACGCTCTAC